AAGAATTAAATGCAAAATGCATTTATGCTTTGGGGCGCTGATCAACGTATTGTATTGATCTATGTGCTTCTAGCAATAGAAATCACCGTGGAGTTTAGTCTTCGTAGACAGGTATTCACGTAAAAACACATTGACATTCCTTTTCATTTTAAAATTCCTTGCAATAGCACCCGATTTCTAATAAATATGTTTTGTTCGTAAATTTCATATTTTTTCAGCAATTTGTGAGTAAAATACAGAAAGTTGTTGAACTCTTGACATTTGTATGAACGCAATGAACAACTTCAAAAAAGAATTTTGCTAATAATGAGTGACAAAATAGTATTTGTGGGAATATAGTCAAACGTGTCGGATATCGGTCTTGTGAAGTATAAGGTTTTAAGAGAAAAAATTTGGACATTATTAAAAACCTATATGTAAGGATTCCCATATTAAAAAAGAAAAATCGATGAAGACATGCTGTTGCTACCAAAACGTTTCTTGATAAAGTGCAAGATCACTAAAATTGCCTATTATCTTTCCAATTTTTTTATTTACTTATAGCAATATATGATTTATTAAAATTCTAAAGCTTCCTGGTGTAATGTATAAATATGTTCACCACTATTTCTTATAGCCAGTGTTCGCGTCGATTGTCCAAACAGTGTCCAAATAAAAAAATTTTTAATAAGGTCTTTGGGTAGTCAATGTCAAAAATAAAGAAATTTTTAACTCGTTATGCATATACAGTTACAATTTAAAAAAAAAAAATCGATTTAATTATTTTATTTTCTACATATATATTATAAATGACTGTTTAAGAATGCACACAGAAAATTTCAAAAATTTGGAGAAACCGCCATTTTGTCAAAAAATTTTATTTTGCTTATTCCTTCGCATAATTACTAGATTTAACATTATTTTAATGAAATATGTATGGCTAATTTCAGAGGATCCAGTTCAGATATATAGTGGTCACCGCAAAATATACTTTTGGAGAGGAGCTCCCGGAAATAAATATTTTTACTAATACTAACTCTTAAAATATAGTTAAGAGATACCGTTAAATGTGTATAAATTTTCATATCAATAAATTTAAAAGTTTTCTCAGAAAAAATGCTGAAAAAATTCGCTTTTTTCGGCCTTCTGACTATATTTAACACTTTAATAAAGATTTTAATTAGTCAACGTTAAAGCACTGAGCATATTTTTGCTACGAAAAAGGTTTTCATAAAATTTTACGGCTCCGTTGACAATAAATTTAAGCAGCAGCTTAACCAAATTATGACTTTCAGTAAAACAAAGTGGTCACAATATATTTTATTATTAAATTAAAAGCCTGACAGAACTAGCAATCTTGTTGAAATCTTCGAAATCATAAGTTGTAAAATGCCGATAATAATATAAACAAATTACAGAATTACACTAGCAATAAAAAGCGCATTATTTTCAGTACTTAAGTATGTAGATAAGTAACGAATACATATATATGTACTTTTTGACATATATGACACATAAGTGCTTATATACTGCAAGCCAGAAATCCACTATCTTCCGTAAAAAGAACTGTGGTAAAGTAAAGGTCAAGCAAAGGCGTGGGTGTTTGTGTGACATAAATTCTCTAATGGTTATAATAAATTATAATTAACAACATTTGACAAGTGTGAAACATAAAAGTAAGTATTTCAATTAGTCATAATTGTCAGCGTCATAAAGCCAACTTAAGTATCGTAAAGCAAATGGCTGCATTTGTTCTGACTTTGCACTTTGCTCGCACTCACACACTTTCCGAATGCGCATTAGGATGTACATTTTTGTACCAAGTTGAATAGTCGCTTAAATTTCAATTTTTGTCCTTAACAAAGAAGCAAACTTAATCAAGCTTTGTTTTTTTCTTTAATTTAAATTTAATATTTTACTTTTCCATATAATTAACATGGGATTTTTGATCCTTTGCAATAAATTATTTATCTCCAAAGAAAAAATATAGCTTCAACTTTCAAAACATAATATTCTAATACAAAATTTTCCGCTCTACAGTGAAGATCATATTGATTTTTTTTTTTTTTTTATCAAAATTTGCTTCAAAAGTTATAAGCAGTTAAAATTATGAATCAAATGTAGGGAGCATTTATAAATGAGCAACACAGAATACATAAATCACTTGCATGAACGCTTAGTGCATTTGTTAAAATATTTCATTTTAATGATTTTTTCAATCAAAAAGACTCTTTCAAAATTACTTGCCTGATGAAAAATATATAGAAAGAAATATAATTTTGGCCGATTTTAAGTTGAAAACAAAAAGCTTGTTTACGTTGCATCCTAATTTTTAAGGCAAAAACTGTAACTTTAAGGGACTTTTGCAAACAAAGAATCTTTAGAAATAACGGACAACCTAATGTACATACATAAAACTTTATGGATATATATAATATATGCCAATTGAGAACATTTCTTATAACTGTTAATATTACCATGCCATGCATGCGTGCTTTCAGAAGTACACATATTTATAATGGAATTGCTATAACTTATTTCTTAGCAATTAAAAGCTAAGGAAGTATATAATTTAAGAAAATTTTCTAAATAATCAAACACTATTAACATTAACATTGTAATGAAACTCGAAGAACTTGGGATATAACGAAATAATCATAATTAGAGATATAAGACAGATCTATAAAATTCTACACACGAATTTAATTCTGATATAATAGGTTATCCAAAAAGTCTTGGGGCATTTCTTGCGGTATTTTCATTGCTGCTACTATGCCGATGTCTTTCGTCCAATTCAGCGATTTTATCGCAATTTTCGACGACAGGCCTTCCGGAGCGTGGCGCATCTTCGACCCCCTCTACATCAGAAAAGAAACGACAACCAATCAAACACGTGTTAGCTTTCCGAAAAGGTATAGCATGACCCGATGCGACGAATAAAACTAGAACTACTCGCTCTCAGCGCCAACTAGCGAAAATACCGCAAGACTTTTTTGACAACCAATATATAAAAAAATTAGCTAAAACTCATACTTATAGATTAAATGAAATCTAATCTCAATTTTATAATTATTCTAAGGCAATTCAACCACAACCACAGGCACTATGAAGAGTAATTTCCGTACTAGACAGTTTCGTAAGTAAACAAAATATATACATAAATAAAGTTATATCTGATACTTTATATGATTATGCAATGAAATCTTTGTAATATTTTAATTTTAAAATTCTAACGAATACCACTCAGATTTTCACCACAGTTTTTCTTTTATTTCACACTGATTTTGAGCCTTATGATCCATATATGTTCTTCCTTTGGTCGAACCAGCTCATTTGACGCATTACACGACAATTATAACATTCATTTTCGTGCTCAAATGCATACAATTGATTATCCGTAATTAATTACTATTTAACAGCTATATAAACATGTTCTGATTGAACAAATTTTCTTAATTACTACAAACTTTATCAGTTTATCTGAGAAATATGAAGTGTTTCGGGCAATGCAAGTTTTTATGCAAGACAGTTTTAGTAGGAATCTGGTTTACAGAGAAAGAAGAAGTATAATGTACTAATTATTCGGAAATGAAGCGATCCTTGTTCCTCTTTCTGTCTTTGATTTCACACTAAATAGACGTAGGTAATAACCTTCGGTTTATAAACATACCTCTTGTCTTTGAAGAGTAGCTTTTATGTTAGTTATTGTAACTAAATTGTCAATTTATTACTAATTAAGCAATTAGTTTAATTTGCGCAATGTTAAAAATATTAACATGAACGAATTCCCACAAAGCACTCAAAAGTTACGAATTTAATGCAATTATATCAGCCCAATGATTAGGTTAACGTTAGGTTAGATGGCTGTTCAAAGATTGCTACAGTACAGTAAGTAGTCTCTGGTGAAGCCATATAAAAGAAGAACACCTGTGTTTGAACTTATAATTTAGCAAAGCGCTTAGTAGCCAATACAAATTTACACAGCCATTTAATTTCCATTCCCGCCAGTTCGGTGGGATGTCTGAAGGTATGCGCTCTAAAGTGTTTAACTCCTGACCTACCAAACGAAGGACAGTCAAGAAGGAAGTGTTAAGTTCTTTTCACCATCCAATCATTCATATCTTCTATACAGCTTCTGCAGATGGTGTCTGGTAGGATTCCCAGCCTTACTGCATGGATGCCATAGGGCAATGGCCTGTTAAAAGCCCCACAACTAGGGAGAGGTCAGCCTTACTGAGGGCAAAAAGATCACTACATCTCTTGCAATCGATCTTGGGTCAAAAGGCTTTTGTGACAGCGCATATACCGATGGTGGCCCAGCGCTGGCCCAGATACGGGAAGATACGGGAGCACCGACCCGCTTCCATTCTACCGATAGTGGTTCTAAAGGGCCTTTACTTGCTACTTTATCAGCTTTACAAATTCCTGCTAAAGTTTGAAGCTGCAGTTGATAGAGAGTTGCTGACAGTAAACCCCTCCACTAACTTGCCTGTACAGTAAGCATGATGCGCTGCTGATAAATGTCCCTCAGAATGCGCCTCCTTATGCACCACTTATCAGTCTCTCTAGAGCTTTTATTACGAAGCAAAAGAGGCGGATGGGCTAATGATCTCACTCTAATTGTTATAGCCCACTTAGTATCGCTAAGAACCATTTGTCTACCAGATCAACCTATAGTGAACATAATTAAAGTTTAAGAGTTTTCAAAAGAGTTGGCAAATATCAGAAAGTACATACATATGTATATATATAATATACTCGTGAATTTCAAAAATCGACTTTTTTAGTAAATTAATGGTCAGATAATTTCAAGCGTAAAAATCTAGCTCACTGCCAAAGTTGGGAAACAATATTCAAAAAAACTTGTTTCTCCGACCTTTTATATAACATTTAATAGCCTGTACGACTATTTCTGGAATATGTTGTATATATAGTTCTAATAAAATTTAATTCATAAATCGTGCAAATATGTATTATATAAGCATAATATTATATATTTAAAAATGTTACTTAAGACTTACCAGGTTTAAAACCAGATATATTGCTAGCTGAAACTGAAAGATTAAAATGTTGTTAATAAAATTCTATATCGAGTATATATTTGTATAGTCTAATGTATAAAAAGTTTACCTGATCTAATACCCATTGATAACTTATACTATAACAGATTGCTTAGCCTATATTTCTTTCCTTCCTTATCCGATAGATATAGATAGATTATATGATAGAGAGATAGATCCGAGTCTCCAATATAACACTTTACAGTTATCTTATGATAGATACAAAATCTAGACAAAGGTTCCACGAAAGCTTTTTCGTGACATTTTTTTCGCAACATTTTCAAAATAAAGTTTGGTCAATCCCGGTAAGCATGTCCTGAGCTCTTGTTTTTGGAAATCGTTACACAAATAATTTTAACTTTTCCGCAAACATGATTCAAAGTAAAGTTTGGCGGCGGCGTCTCCTGAGCTTTTGTTTTCGGAAGTTGTGACACAAATATTTTGAGTTTTTTTGCAACATTTTTCAAAATTCAGTTTGGTGAACACACGAATTTGTCTCCTGAGCTTTATTTTTTGAAAGTTGCAAGAGTATAAAATGTTCGATTACATCTCAACTGCCTTATTTACAAAACATTTGGTTATACACATATTACAGCAGACTCCATTCAATTAATATGAAAGCTTCCTTCCGTAGAGCTTTTTTTGAAAATAATATAATCACATTTTTTTCAGTTTGGCTTACTAACCAAGACGTTGAGTTTCGTTTTTGATTAACCCAACAATATAGAATAGATATAACCAAACCAACCAACATAAAAACTCCGTAAGTCGAAAGCTTCATACATATATCATAACGTTCATACATATAACATAACAATACTTGTATGTATTCAGGTCTAGAAATGTCTAACAAACGAAAAGGACGCAAAACATATATGTAAATATGTATAGTTTCCCATAACGTAACGGTATATACATATATAAATTATACTTATATGTACAGATGTAGTATGTTTGTATAACATACTAACCTCTGATTTCTAGTGGATATATTGCCAAGGTTTGAAGCCAGCAGTAAGCAGCAGCAACAGGCAATATGGCAGCCGCCGAGAAATATGTTGCAATTACGCAGCGAAAAATGGAATTTCCCTTTTCCATTTCCCCTTTTTTGTTTATTTCATTTTTTGCACTTGCCGCTTGTGGCGTGTAATTTGTACCAACTGACTTTATACTCCATTTGTATTTTTGCATGTATGTATGCGCAAGTAGTAATAATAAAGTTTACTTGACTGCAATATATTTGTTTTTCTTATTGTTGTTGTTTTCTTACTGTTTGGTAATTGCCATTATAATTTATTGTTATATGCCATTAACGCGCGTTATTTTATGCGTTATGTTTGTGTGTGTCAGTAGTCACGTTGCTACACACGTTAGCTTTTTGCATTTATTTACGCATTTCTGCTGTGTTTGCCGTTAACATTTTTGCAAATACCAAGAACAATTGGCAAATTATATATAGCAAGCCGAGAATTGTGTGGCGCAAAGAAATCAAAATAAAAAAAAAAAAACAGAAAACAGAAAGCAAGAAAAAATACTCTAGACAAATAAAAAAAAAACTTTCCATACAAATATTAAATTTTGTAAGGTCATATCGGTTTGTATGGGAGCTATATGCTATAGTGGTTCGATCAGAACAATTTCTTCGAAGAATATACCGTTGACTTGGAGAATAATCCTTGGCAAATTTCGTTAAAATATCTCATTAAACGCAAAGATTTTTCAAACGAGAACTTGGCTTTGCTCGTTCAGTTTGTTTGGCAGCTATATGCTACTGTGCTGCGATCTGAATGATTTCTTCGAAGATTGTTGGATTATTGGAAAATAATCCATACCAAATTTCCTGAAGATATCTCATCAAATAAAAAAGTTTCTCATACAAGTACTTGATTTTGATCGTTCAGTTTGCATGACAGCTACAGCTGTGTTCAAAATAATAGGAGTGCCCCTGAGAAAAATATTTAATCCACAAAATTTATCATGTCAGAACATGAACGCAAAACGCTTTCAAAGAAATATTTCTAACGGTATTTCGCGAGTAAAACAGAAAGCATAAACTTCAGCTGTTTACATTATTTGCAATGTTGTGAGTTCATATCTGTGTCGATCACTGAATTGAGATGTTCATAAAAATAGGAGTGTGAGCCACCAAGTGGTATAATATATTTTTATTTAAACAAAATCTGTAAAAAACAAAAAAGTAAGTACAACAAAATAAAAACGGTGATATTTTTTAAAGGATAAGTCATTTATTTTAATTAGTGGGTAGAGGAAAGCACTGCAGCGACGAAAAGCGTGAAATCATTAAAAATCTTCGAAAAAACGGGAAAACTTATAAAGAAATGAAAGTAATACTCGGGTGTTCTGATCAAATGATATCAAATGCCTTATCCAACGAAAAAAAACCCGAAACTCGTGGACGAAAACGTAAAACTACCAAAAAAATCGATCGACGCATACTCCAGTCGTCTAAACAAGATCCCAAAGCGACGTCTAGAGAAATAAAGAAGCGTCTAAATCTTGATGCTAGTGACGTAACAGTTCGTAGACGTCTACTGAAATGTAATTTATTTGCGCGGAGTCCGCGAAAAGTTCCATTATTGACAAAGAAGCATATTGAAGAACGGCTCCTTTTTTGCCAAAGAACATGTCAACTGGCAACCGGAAAAATGGAGAAATATTTTGTGGACAAACGAATGTAAGGTAGTTTTATTTGGTGGCACAGGGTCCAGACAGTATATCCGTCGTCCACCAAATACGGAATATAGACCGCAATACACCCTTAAGACTGTCTAACATGGTGGTGCAAAAGTAATGGTTTGGGGAAGTTTCTCGTACAACGGCGTGGGACCAATCCATCTAATTAAAGAAACCATGGGTCAGTACGTGTATTGGATATAATGAAAAAAGTTGTGCTGTCATACGCGGAATGGAATATGCCTTTAATGTGGTTGTTCCAGCAAGACAACGACCCTAAACATACAAGTACGTCCGCAAAAGAATGGTTTCGGGTCAATAAAGTGGATGTTATGTCGTGGCCTACTCAGTCGCCTGACCTTAATCCGATAGAAAATTTATGGACAGATGTTAAAAAAGGTGTAGCTGACAGTAGACCATCAAATACAAGGTAATTATGGAGCACAGTCCAGGAAGCGCGGCAGCAAATCCCGCGGAAAAGATGTCGTGATCTGATAGATTCCATGCCCCGCAGATGTGCTGCAGTAATTAAAAATGGCGGTTACTCGACTAAATATTAACTAAACTATCTTATATACTAGTCATAATTTCCAATTTTTTAATTTATTATTAGTTTTATTGAATTTTGTGATGCACTCCTATTATTTTGAACACAACTGTATATGCTATAGTGCTGCGATATCAGCCATTCCAATGAATGAGCAGCTTCTTGAAGAGAAAAATGTGTGTGCAAAATTTTAGATCAATATCTCTTAAACCGAGGTACTAGTTTGCGCATATACAGACAGACAGACATTTGAACATGGCTAAATTGATTAAAGTAATAACTTATATATGGTTTGTTTTTCTGTTGGCACTGATGTTTCACTCTGTTTGTTACAAGCTTCATGGTCCTATTCAGGGTATAAGAACTTGCACCAACACCACACAGCAATATTTATATGATATGCATACCAACAACTACTCCGCGTTAAAAATACAATATCTAACTTCAAAGCCTTTGTTGTTGTTGTGTATGGAAAAAGTTACCATAGATGGCTGTCTTGTGCAGAAAAACCCATAAATAATTGCCGATGAGCTCTGCCAGGCGTTGATTGGAAATTCGTGTATTTTAATCTCAAACGTCCGGTAGCATTCTGTGCGCAACGCACATGCGTTTCAGCTTGTAAATTCGCCATAAATTATTACGCTGCTGTTGAATTTGCAATTTGGGCACTTTTAATTTATTCTGCTGGGTATTGTTGCGGAACGCTTATAAGATATCGTTGCACTTTACGGATTTGCCAACTGCATTACTTGTTGCTGTTCATTGAATTGGAATCGTAAATCGTTATCGATTAACACGGTTCACTAGTTGCCAGCCCAAATGGATACATGGCAAATTAATGGCTTCGCATTTAACATTTATTTATTATACTATATGCGCGTTTGTGAATATGAGCATGTATGCCACTAGTCAATACAGGATTGCAATACTAATAATGTTTGCTTTTTGATTAACCAATCTTCGTTTAATGTGCGATAATGTTCATGTATGTTTGAAGCTAAACAATAAAGTAAACACTTTAAGACTTTTCCGATGTCTTTTTGTCTATTACTCACAATTTTTATTTTGAAAATAGCAGTTACACAGTACAACAGCTAATCTGGGGGGTGAGAAATTCCAAGCCAGGATGATGCTACTAGGTCAGTATATTAAAACTCTCAAAGGGTTTGGCGTTCGTATGTGTCAGTTTTTTTTATGACCTTTTAACTTGTTTCCTTATCTTGTTGAAAAAACATCGATTCACCCTGACTTGGAATTTCTTACCCCCCAGACAATAATCCCAAAAACGTTCCACAGTGTTAGTGCTATAGTATAGAAAACACTTCTTGAGATTTCCAAGCAATTTGAAGCGCTTTTTAGCTCAGAGGAAGGTAGAAAAACCGATTCCATTTTGGACAAAATTATACACTGTGAATTTTTTGGGTTTCTGAAGTAAGGAAAAGATAGATGTAGCCAAATCTCCAAAAATGTGTAATATCAGTCCATGAACTACCTCAGCGCCACGTATCTAAATCTGTTCAGGCCTCTCACAAATTTCGAGAATATACTTACTCCTGACATAAGTTATTTTAGGAACTTTTAGGAAGGCCCAATACTCTTCATTCTATTGGTACTCTTTCGCTATCCCTCATTATATAACCCATTTGATAAAAGTGAAAAAAGTCCCCATATTGATGACCACCTTGAATTTATGGAATGGAAAACTTCTTCAACAGTAAAAATTGTTTCAGCTGTTAAAAGGATACTTTCTTGG